AAAATAAATGACAAAAAAGTGTTGAATGCAAAAAATGTGCCAAATACAACAAAGAACATCGAACGTGCAAAACTTCCTTAAATTAAAAGGTGAACTTTTCCTTTTCATACTTTGTGTGCTATTTGTATTATCTTCTAAGTATATACCTGTTGATCCTGCCAGCGGTGCTGCTGCAGCCTCATTCCTGCGTTGGGCCGATTGTCGGCCCTCCACTCGCCTTAGCCTATGGAGGCTTCACTTACTGCTCCCAGCTAACTCAGTCCAACGCAAGAGAACAGAGACATGAGAGCATCGATAGACCCGCCCACTGCCTCGGCACCAGCAGTCACATGACCGTGGCGAATACATTAAAGGAGAACTATGTGAGGGGGGGTGCTTCTCACTCACCTCATACCGGTAGTTCTAGCTGACATGTGACAATGAGACTGTCACAGGTCGGCTCAGTACTCAGTAGATCGGGAGGTGAGAGAACACATACCGGCGTTCGCTCACCTCTCGATCCTGTCAGGGCCCCCTCCCCGCTCCGATCCACCAACGCTGACTGGCGGAACGAACGGGGGAGGGGGCGGGTACAGCTGGCTTTGCCTCTAGATAGGCAGAGCCAGCTGTCACTCACGCAGCTGGGAGGATCTCGACATCGATGTCGGGATCCGCTCCGGTGGCGGCGTCTCAGTATACCGCGAGCTGTAGCTCGCGCTATACTGAGCTTAGGGTGACGGGAGGACCCTAGTTTGTGTCCTCCCGTGACCCTAAGGAGAACTATGGGGAAAAGCCCTGACCCCATAGTTCTCCTTTAATGTTCATCTCCAGGTACACAAAAAAACCTTCCCTTGCAGGGGAGCTACATCCCTTCCGCCTACCCCCTACGCAGTGCAAGGGTTCACTGCTTATTTATGGTCTAGGGGTACGGTGTAAAACAGTTTTACTTACCTGATCTCCCGCTCCCCCTGGCTCCAAGACCAGCGCCTGCAGCCTCTTTCCCCCACCTCATCACGTACATCACAGGGCCTGCATTACATGTCAGGATATCGAGAGGGGAGACCACTTGAGGAGCGGGGTTTAGGTAAGAAAAGCTGCTATACGCCATACCCCCAGACATAAAGGAGCAGTGAACCCCTGCAGTGTGGGCATAGACACATTGCGGGGGGGCGGGCTTTTTGTTCCCCTGGAGACAGGCTTTACATTTACTGATTTAAAAGGGAACTCCTGGAATCTAAAACATGAACCCTTCCAGTGGGGCTTCCCCCCCCCACCCACCCACTACAAGGGTTGACTACTTGTTTTGGTCTAGGGGCTGGAATACAGAAAGTATACTCACCCCTATTGCAGGGGGCAGCAACTGCAGCCCTCAAGCTGTGGCGAGACCACAAACCCCAGCATGCCTCTGCTCTGGGTGTCATGCATGTGGCTGTCAGAGACATGCAATGCATCGTGGGACTTGTAGTTCCACCACAGCTGCAGGGGCAAAGCGGCACAGCCCTGGTCTATTGGTTGTTGCAGCCCTGCCTTCTACTTTAAAGGGGGTATCCACCATCCCTGTCCAACGGACAAATGTCGTGGCCGGACCTTCATGTCAGAAGATGCCGCTCATGTATGTGCAAAGCACGCGGAGGTCACTAGTCACAATGTGCTAAATATTCACATAGCGGATGTCAACCTTCAGTGAAATGACAGGTACACTTAGGATTGAGAGTGCAGTACAGAGCCCCTATCCAGGTTATTTTGGGGAAGGGCAGCACTGCTGGATGAAGAGAGCCCGGCTGTCCCCCCCCATGAGTAGTTTTACTTCCATATGTTCTATGTGATGAATTCTTCCCATCCAGGGACATCCAACCGCTGAGCCTATTGCAATGTGTGAATGAGAGTCGCTGCGAGCAGACCAGTCTGTCCTGTGTTACATCATCACATGTTCATGGAGAGGGCAGAGCAACAGCTGCTGAAAGGTTTACAGGGCCCGGTGTACGCAGAGAGAGCAATAAACAAGAACTGAGGCCCCTCCCCCACAATGTGGCTCTGTGACATGGGCCAGCCCACCAAAAACCCATAAAAGTGAAGCGTCAAACCACACCATACACAGTGCAAGAGAGTGCTAAAGTCCTCCTCCCGGGATCAAGGGCCTCAAATCCCTGAGATCACCTGGGGAGCAAGGCTTCTTATGGGGGACAAGACAACCCGGCCCACCTGGGCCGAAAACCAGGCAAACCACGGCCTCGTAGGGAGCGGCCAAAACCGATCCAACAAAGTATTCATTGAGGGGTCTCCTGAAGAGAAACCCCCCGCCAGTGGGAAAAGGCAAAAGACCCAAAGGGGCCACAGAGCCTCCCCAAAAATCAGGGCAGGCCCCGGGGGGGCACGCACCACGGTCTCTCTGCCTTCTTGTTTTGGGGTACTGAGCATTCAAGAGTGCGTCATTGGGCCCATTCAGGTCCCATCTTTTTAAGTTCACCCCTTGTCACAATGCTCGCCCCCGGGGGCCTCAGGTAGCAGCACCCAATGCGAGGAGGCCAATGTTTGCCACTCCATCTCCTTCCCCCCATCCAAGTGCTGTGAAATGATTCA